ATATATATAAAAATGTATATCTATAGACACACACACAATTGTACTATACCCCGACCACCCCCAAATTATATGCTTTAGAAGAAGTTGTATATGAACACTGGCTGTCACCTGGAGTTTGCTGCCCTTTAACAGGAGGTCTTTTTTTTTTTTTTTTTTTTTTTTTTGCATACTGGAATATTGCCTACACGCTGACAGCCTTTTACCCTGACCTTTGATGGCTTAGGTGAGAAAAGATGGAGACTGAAAAAAATCAAACTGCAAACATCTTGTCATTTTCATTAGAAATGCATGTGAATTGTCATTTTTAAAAGGTATTATTTAATATAGGTTCAAGTTGATAGAGACTCTGTCAGAGTTCCTGTATTTTTCAACATAATTACATTTCCAGTAATGCTGTTATATATTTTATAATACTGTGGGAGAGTACTGCAATGGTACTAAATGGTGCTGATTTTAAAATGCAAAAAGCCAGTACCAAAAATACCTGAAGAAATGGGATTTGATGGAGAAAAGACACTGTCAATCAGGCACTGTTTAAAGTCAGAGGCAGCAAAAATCTCAGCCACCATATAGCAGATTGTTAGCAGAGAGCCTATATGTTGTACTTCTGAGCACAGACTGTATTGAAGTATAAGATCAAGTTTTCGAGATACTATGTGGTTGCATTACATACTCGTTTCCCTTCATCTAAAGGGATCCTGTAGCACTCTGTAAACTCAGGCCAGCACTTCCAAAACTTACCTACAAATCAGAGGCGCTCGGCCTGTCAAGCACGGCTCATTTTCTGAGGAAGCCTGGCATCCATTGCAACCCGTTACCGCTCAGCGTCTCTGAAAGCTGCACCTCAGGTCTCATAAGCTGGGCACCCCAAATGCAAAGCACCCGAAGTCAGTGGTAGCTTTTGTAAAAGCTGATTTTACATCAAAATGCACACCAGTCGGTCGTGGTGTGACTGACATTACTGAGGGCAGGCTTCCTCTGTACTTATCACAGCTCCTTCAAACAGGAGATCGACCACCAGCACAAATGCAATCAGGGCACCAGAAGTCATGCCCTTTCTCTTACAAAAGAGAAACTTCAAAGGCTTGTGGGATGAAGCTTTGTGACCTCTCAACAGAAAAGTGGTGAAACAGTTACATGTGTGCCAATATCCCCGCACTCCGTGCTAGACACAGCAAATTCAGACCTGGAAGTCAGGCTTAGGGACAATGGTGACTTTGAGAAGTGATTTTAACAGTGCATCACAAGTACCAGCGGACTGTTTCAGAAGGAAACAGTTTCTGAGAAACATCAAGGAACTCTAGAAAGATTGTCCAAAATCTTTGAATTATATACAGTTTTCTCTTCATGCTAATGCTGATATGTACTAGTTCCTGCCAACAGCGGGCTACTTATTTTACCTTCACTATCTGAAGTGGAGAGCCTGCGTTTATGAACTCTTCTTAACTCCTTCCCATATCGGACACTTTTCTGTGAGCCATCGCTTTCTGAATCTTCCTTATAATTAACTTGTCTCTTCTGATTCCGTCTTGATCTTCTCCTCCTAGTTTCCAGGTAATCGTCATCACTGTAATCTGTGTAATCGCCACTCTCTGTACAGAGGAAAACAGTGATGTGCGTTATTCCATTAAAGCAAAACTGCACAATTTAGATAAGCTTTAGACCAGCACCAATGAAATCATGCGCTCTTCCAGCACGAGAGCATCTTAACCATCACGCCTGGCCACCCCGACCTGTTCCAGGCTCGTGCAGTGAAGTTGCTCAGTTCTGCCATTCATCGCCAGTGAAGAAAATTGCTCAATTTTCAAATCTTCTCACAAACCATTTTCCTGTCTCCCTCAAACTCCTCCGGAAGAAGGTTTCCTTCCAGTGCTTTTGTTCCCTCATCTCTACAGGTGCCAAAGATGCCTCCTCTACAATTCCTGACAATTGAAACAACCTTACTGAATTGAAGTTGATGATGCACATTACTAGTGACACTGGAAAGTCCCTTCTGGTTTTAGAAATTTAAATAAATTGTACTCTACTCGAACACTTTCAGGAATAGGTACATGAAAATAACAAGATGAAACTTCAGATATGATCTGAGTGATAGAATTTAAATCCACAAGAAAAATTGGTCTCACTCGATCATAAGTTTGTTTAAAACAGAAACTGTATAGAGGAAACTTACCATCATTCACAGTTCTTCCTGCACCAGTCCACTGCAGCTAGTGTCTTAAAGAATTAAATTTATTAACATCAGCTGAAAATAGCCTTTAATCAACTTTAGCTGCTTTTTCACTGAGCTGTGTCAGAACAATTATCCCAAGACACATTTCTATACATTTCACATACTGTTCCTAAATTAGTGATTGACATGAGTCACAGATCAAAGTGGCATCCTCTTTACTTCCTAAAATATTAGAGAAAGAATCAGAGCAAGTCAACAACCACCTTCAGAAAGAAACTCCATCACTGGAGACTGAAAACAAAGCCACTCGCAGGGTACCTGATTTCTTTAGCTCAAAATAGGGTTAAGGCAGGATCCTGAGGGACAGTAATGGGGAAAAAGAGAGAAACACAAAGGCAGCACTATACTCTTACATACATAAGGAACGACACCGGAATCAGTTGATTTTATCACAGTTGTGTGTCCACCAGGAAACAAATAGTTGCTCAAGCGCATTACAGAACAGATGAGCAATCTAAGCGCATACAGCTATTCTTCATCTGTTCATGCATGAACCCTCCTTTTGGAAACCAGGACTTCAAAGCAACCTACTCCAACATGGTCACCATCTCTATTCTAGAGAGACACAGAAAACACTGGAAAGGTAACACACACTGCAGTAAGTTAATGCTCCAGTGTACTTAGTACCTTAAGTCCACAATAAAAACAAGTAAAAATAAGTGCTTGCACTTTCTAGGACTGGGTCTCAAATGAAGCAGAAACACAAAGGACAGTCTTCAGAGAAAGTTGCTAATCATGAAAAGGAGTAAGTATTGCGTAAGTATTATTCTCACACTTCAAACTGTGCAAACTGAAAACAAACTAGTTGAAGGAAAAGTGGAATAAAATGAATTATTAGGTGGTTCTGTGATGCAAGAGTCTTCAGTTAATAAAGATCAAAAAGGATAATTGTAGAAGAGACAGATTCAAGGTGTGAGGGGGAAAATGTTTCTTTCAGAAGAAGCTTTTTCAAAGGTTTTCAGAAGGTCTTCAGGCAGCTATAAAGAAGTGCTTTTTTGCCTCCATCCTTTCTTTTCCCTGCAAGTATGTTCCAAACAGGAAGGTATGGGGTAGCTGAAACTATCCACAAAGGTGGCCTTTTGAATCATAACACAAGCATTCATTTAAATACATAATTACTTAAAATTCCAAGAACCTTGTACTCAAGGTTTCCTGCAAAATAGTCACAGAAGAACAAGTAGCAAATTGCTTTCCACACAAGGGGCGAAGGTGACATCTGAATTGACCAAAGCAACCAAACAAGTAAGAGTCAGTCGTGACAGGAAACTGAGCCTTCCACTCTTCCTCTCTCCAGTACAGAGTAAATACATTTAAGACTTCTTACACTCACCAGATTCTCTGCTTGAATTGTCTTCAGAATCTTCATCTTCGTCATCTTCAGAATATTTTTTCTTGACTGTTTTCCTTCGTAACCGCCTGCTTTGCCTCATGGGCCTGGAGAGGTGTCTCCTGGATATGCGGGCACAGAACTCGGAATCACTGTCTTCGTTTGATGGTGGGTCATCTTCACTTTCATCCAGATTTTCCTCTGATATAACAAACTCGTCCTGAGATCTGTTCAAAGAGAGACCACAGACAACAGAGATAGATATTGGAAACAAAGGATCAAAACAGTACTTCAAGCAAGCGATAAACGTAAAGTAAGTATTGTCTGACACACAAAAAAAAAAAAAAATCCAGGATAACATCCAGAAGGCATTCAGCAGAGTTGAAAATGTATGAGCACACTTTAACAGATCAATGCACTATTAATTCTGTGAGATTTCTGCAAGCTACACTCATTGATTGGAAATTTCCAGCACGTTTAGCTCAATTATTCAGAGTGCCACTGAAATGTCCTCAGTATGGTCACAGGTGAAAAACAAAGCTCAAAATTTGCATCTATGTTGTATAGATTATCCATACACTTAGTAAGTTGACTCAGTGACTGGTAAAGCTTTAAATGTTAATGGTAAAGAGCCTACACTTCATGTTCCGTTATGTTTCTTCACTGAGGCATAAAGGACATCTAAAATCATTATTAAATTTTTTAAATTTAGGAATTCCCCAGACTGAACGATGAGAAATTCCATGGAAAGAGAGTTTCAGTTAGCCAGAGCAATACTCAGCATTTAAAGCTTCACATGACACACATTTGTTTTCTACAGCATAAACCACCTCTCTGCCTGTTTTCAAACTCTATCTCCTAGAGAGCAGAAATCAAGAATTGATTTCAGAACCTGCATGCCAAGATCTGCATGCT